CCTACTCATCAAACTCTCGGCAAGAAAGCAAATACTTCCCTAACGTGACCAATAAGAGTATATGTTAGAAATATGTTTAAAAAGCAGAGCTGCCAACTCTCACACATTGAGCGTGAGAGTCACGCAAGTGACACCTTTCTCACGCCCCACATCAATTTTCACACCCATTGGAAAAAATATAACTTATAAGGCTGACTTGGCGCAAATCAACTCCACCAAGCTGGTGCGACACCGGTGTACACTGTGACAGTAATCAAGCAAACCCGCTCTTGCGCAGTTAGTGGCAGACAGTTTTTGACTGAGTGGTAATGTAGCTGGTAGATATCCAACGAAAGTTAAAGTCAAGGGCAATAGTGGTCGTTTGCCAGGATCGTCGATACTAATCCTGGCAAACGACCCCACTGAGGTTAAATAGCTGAGTTTCCCTACCAGTCAGTCAGAACTGAAGAAGTCCCTTGGATGAGCGACGAAACATCTTCCAGTATCTTCAACCAAGTGCAATTGCCCTTGACTTTAACCTTCGTTGGATAACTATGACTGAGAATATTCACAGACATGTAGCTGGTAGAGTTTTGCTATATAAAAATGTAAAAACTGAAGCGCAGCATTATTAGGGACTGTGAGCTGCACAGAGCTGCTGAAGTTAACGTGTGGATTTTTGGTGAGATTTCTGCTGATCTCAAGTGTTTTCAGTTAGTTTCGTTTTGCACGGGCCTCATCCATACAGTGCCAAATGTGTCCTTTCTGAAGGTAGCCTATCATAACAGCTGAGCAAGTAATTGTGATTAAATTATGACGTTATTCTCATAATAATCTTTGTGGACATGTCAGATTTTTAATGTGCAAAAAGTTTTGAACATCCATACTAGGAGTTTCTAACTGAATTACAATAAATTATCCTTGAGGTGAAAAGGAGCCACAGGCACATTTAAACAGGTTAGTTCCCCAAACAGACACAAAGAGGAGGGAAAACCAATCATGAAGGAAAAGCAAATACAGAATGTTAGAAAGCCTTCTATATGCATTTTATTATTAATATTTTGAATATTTTGAATTGTCCCCTGCTGCCTGAATTTAGTGTTTCCGTTTACATAGCCTACATAAAAACATTTCCGCCATAAATTGATGCGGAAAAGTCAAGAATTAGTGAAGAAAATTTCACCAGAATGCAGGAAATGCTAAAATTTTTCTGGGGAGGACCCCACGCTAGATAAGCAGCCCCTCCATTGCTAAAGGAAAGCCTAAATACAGTCTCAGTCAGTGAAAGACTCCCAAATACCTAGGTTTGGTCAAATTAAGGCTATGATGTCTGGAGGTTAGCAAGTATGCTGACCACACTGATCTGACCATGATTATTAACATTGCTTTTCATCTACACATTCTTTTGAATGTGGCTGTTGAACTTTTAAAACAAAATTCCTGAGGATTAAAGAAGGATGACCCTGACACCTACTCATCAATTGAACCGACCTTCAATACCGAATCTCACTCCAAACTAAATTTAAAAGTTGGCAGCCCTGAAAAGAAGTTTATAAACACATACATGCAACCGAAAATCCAGACATCCGGACATAATGAATAAAGGATGAGTAAAAAATGAACTGTATGACAAAATACTGTTGCATTTACAGAACTACTGAGAAATCCCTGCAAACAGCAGCAGTACCAATATGAATACAAAGCATAAGCAATGTCTGCAATGTGTTAGCTGCACATTATTAAAAAGATAAACATGGGGGTACGAGGATAACTGCTTGTGAAAGATTAGTACAGGATGTGCGACAGGATGTTCGCATTTGCATGATGATAATGACAGTGCAGTAATTTGCCCTCAGTTTGATACGTAACACGGAGCCGTTAATTATCACTTTATCAGTTTCTTTTATTGCAGAGCTCTGATTGCTGCTCCTGCTGCGAACAGCAACCTGTGAGCAGCTCCCGGCGAGAGCTCGATGGAGGTGCCACAGAGAGAGAGAGAGAGGGAGCGAGAGAGCTTTACTTCTTATTCCTCCACATTTCTTCCTCATCCCTCTTTCTTCCCTTCCTTTGCAGATTTGGGAAGTAATGTGACGACTTTGGTTTTGTGGGCAAAATAAATTAAAATAAAAACACATGATTTACCTGTTGGTGAGGTATAACGATCACATTTCAATTAGAACAATCAAATTAAAGTTAAAGCTACATGAGGTAAGTAAAAACACCAAGTCTTTCAGCTTGTGCATGTCATTAGAGGTGAATCATTACTCGATTAATCAAATAGTCGATTGAGCTAATTTTCAAGCAAAAATACAGATAATTCCAGCTTCTCCAATGCAAAGATTCTGTTTGTCTGAAGATACATTGTTATGAACTGAATGTATTTGGTTATTGGACTGTTTGATGGACAAAAGGAGACATTTGAAGACATAACCTTGAATTCTGGGAAACTGGGATGGATATTTTTCAGTTTTTCATAGACAATTTATTGAGAAAATAACCGCCCTGTATGTGATTTGTGTGTGAAGTGTTTTCTGTTCAGATGTATTTTTGTCCTTGGTCATCTTCCTCCCTCCCTCTGCTCCATGCTTTAGCCCTTCCTTCCCACCGTTGTCAAGGGCAACCGGAGGAAAGAGACAAATACAGTAACAAATCACTTGATCGGCGGGGGAATCCAGCAGGTGTGTGTCTGTTATTGTGCACGTGTCCTATTGTGCCCTTTTCCATGTCCCTGACCGACAGTTACAACTGGCAAAAATTCACACAAACACACGTGGAGCCTGAGAAGTGTGTGTGTGCGCGCACACACGCGGTGTAAATGAAGTGACTCTTGGCAGGCTCACAGCTAATTCAGCATGAATATTTAATCAACTATAAACAAATTACTATTGCACTGGATGGTGCCAGTGTATGTGTTGTGTTAATGCATGTGTGTATCTTTCTCTGCCCTTGTATCTGTGTTAGAGTGCACATGTTGCTCGCTCTTTCTCTCTCTCCCTTATTAATGTGGATGTCTCTCCCTTTCTCATGGAGCTCTCTCTCTCTCTCCAATAGGTGTGGGCAGACTGCAGAAGTACAGATTTATGAGAGCAAACCAAGTTTTTAGAGCGTGTCTGGGCAGGATTCTGAGTGAATTAGATGGGTTATTGCCTGCAAGAGGAATGCTGTCGCTGGCTTCGAGCCATGCAACAGTTTGTACCTGGTCCTTGCATGCAAAAATCAAACATCAGTAAAAGCAATTGGATTTGACCTGCTCTTCAGCATGGTCCATACACTATTTTATTCATTTAAGAGTTTTTTTGGCATGTGAACTAATTTACTTACCACCCCTTGTCACAGGTTATGGCCTTAATGTGGACATGGTTAGTGAGCTGTTCAACCTTTGTATGATTTTAAGACACCTGAAGAGGTAAAAATACCCAATATTTCAAAAGAAATACCCACAAATCTTACATAAGTGAAAATATATTTTGTGTAATAGAAATATGGTTTCTTATCTCTTTAATGATCATGAGCCTCAGGATCCCAAACCCCAGGGTGAGACATACTGGATTAAAAGACAATTATTTTGTGAGCCAACATGGACCTGAAGTCCTTTTGAACATCAACAATTTCCTTGACAGCTGGGCAAACTTAGTCTGCTGATATGTGCTATAATCAAAAGCTCCTGTACCGCTGTATTAGCCATATGTACAAAAATGTTATCACGATAAAAAATGTAATATCAGTCGATATTGATAATTATCACAATAAATGTCAAATCATTAATTCTTTCAAGTTTAAAGGCTGACTTTTGCTCCTGAGTGAAAGTTGAAGAAACCAGATTATTAATTGTGGTTTTAAACTTTTGATGCCAAACAGTGGACAAATCTGAGACATTCAAAACAGTAATAATGATAAAATCTTTTTTTAACAAACATGCATGATTAAAATAAGTAAAATCCCTTTTCCGCAAAGAAAACATCTTACTAGAAAAGTTAAGTGCTGATTCGTTCATGATTCAAATGAATTAAATCAAACTTTTATTGAACATTTGTTATATTTTTACTGAGGAATGTGATATCACAAAAATTGTTATAGTTTTGTTGGCCAGCCCTGTTGTGAACCCAAGTGTCAGGAAGGTTACTCTGGAAATGTAATGGGTTACTTACCCTATTTAAAATGTAATAGTAGTGTAACTATTACACTAACTATTACTGTTACTTTCTCAAAGTAATGTAACTTAGAACATTTGGTTGCTTTTCGAAATTTCTAAATGTTTTCAACTGTTAACCATTTTCAAAAGAAAGCTTGAGAAGCAATTTAACTGGAAAACAGTGGCGCTACAAATTCAAACATGAGAACCAATCAAAAGCATCAGGATAGCATCAAGTAACTGTAATTTAATTACACATTTTACCCAGTAACTAACAGATTAGGCTACAGTTACATTTATTTTGTAATTAAATTAGGCCTACATAACTAAATTACAGGCAACTAGTTACTCCCCATCAGTGACTGTCAAGCAGAGGTGTACTGATGTAATCAAACTGCAATAGCTAACGCCACATTGTGTTCAAAAACAACTGGAGGCCTAATTCTTCTTAAAAAAAAAAAAGTATTCTACGTCAATTCTACAAATGCAAAAATACAGAAACTGACCTGCTTCAGTCAACAGTGGCACAGAAACACATGTAAACACTGAGGAACCTCAGACCCATTGCTTTGGCTTTTACACTAGCATTTTCTAGGAAGTGCTTCAATGTAAAGAAACGCATTAACGTGATCTTAATCGATTTTTAATTGTTCAAATCAAAGCAACGCTGTAATAGACTACCATACTCGCCTATGTGCTCCTGATGTTGTCAAAAGCAAACTTAATCACACATTCCTCAAAAAGCCCCCTCACCCAACGGGATATATCAGTTAGCATCTGGTTGTTAATTGATGTTTCTGTGTCTCCTCCTGTGTGTATATCGGGCCCGTGCCTCCATCGCGCTCACTCCGGACGACGCGCGCATACGTGCGTGTGCGCGTTATTTGCTCTCCGTTTAACCTCGGAACAGCGATTCGAGGCGACTCGACACAACCGCTCGCGCTCTCTCTGTCTCTCTCTCCTCGCCCCCTCCTCTTCCTCCTCCTCCTCCTCCCTCCCTCCCTCCTCTTCCTACCTGATTCAGATCCGCTCCGACGCTATGCGTGTGACCGCGTCTCTCTCTGCAAGGCGAGCACCACCGGAGAGACCCGCACGCTGCCGCTGCTGACCGCCGGCTGACAAGCGACCCAGGCCGGGCAACAGGAGCGGGGAGACGCCGCCGCTGATTGACCTCCGCCGGAGGAGAAGGCGGAACAAATTAACGGGCAAAGGTAAATAATAGCCATATGTTATCGACACATAGGGGGCTTATTCGTGCAGAGCAGAGGAGGTGGCCGCGCTGAAACGGTGGCCGTCCAGGTCGCTGACAAATGTTTTTGCGTTTATGACAGCTGAACCTGCTGAGCCCGTTTGACAAATATACAGGAGTTAAATTGAATATTGCTGTTTATTTCCCGTGCCCGCCGAGAGCTCCTACAATAAACGGCGATATGGACGGAATGGATGATCAAGCTTGCTGAGGCGCACGACAGCCTGTTGTGCATCCGTTTTCCGTTTATTATTCATTTTTATTAGACCCGGAAGGCACAAAAACACAATTTAACAGACAGCAAACCCTCTTGTGTGTGCACGGCGTTTGTATACCAGTCTGTTTCTAAGATTTATGTGGGCAAGTTTTGGTGTCATCGGGGGGCGGCAGGGAAGTGAGATTGCAGACAGTTTTTTTTTTTTTTTCTGAATAACGTTGCCCACATCGTAATCAAGGAAACACACACGTGCGCGCCCGCCTGCACATACACACCTATCCTACATGTAAGACATGTCACTTTTTGGGCGACTTAATAACGCTGCATGCTTAAAGACGTCGGCTCAAATAATGTATGGCACTTAAATAGCGGCTGCTCCGCGTGCAAGAGCGCGTGCGTTAATGAGCATATGTTATGGCATGCAAAATGCAGGGTAATCTTTCTGTAAGTAATGAGCCATATGATGATCCATATAATGACCAACACTGTCATCATTACATCATCCTTGTACTGGGTTTGCCCCCCTTACCATAATGCTTCTCATTCATCTTCAGCATTGCCACCACCACAATCATCATCATCATGGTTTTGACTCTTGGCTAAAGGGTCGCTCTGTATCACAACTTAAAATACACAGGGCTGAACTGTAAAAACCTCACTGTTTTCTCACAGACGCTGGAAGAAGTAGAGAGGAACAGAGAAAGAGAAGTGGCCGTCATTGTCTCTAACTGAAAAGAGTGCGATGGAGGAGGAAGAAGAAAGATTAATTTCAGTAGAAGTAGTAGAAGGGAGTTGTGAGGGAGAGGCCATTGTTTATATGTTCCTCAACTTCCAGCGAGGGAGCTGCCAGTCCCCCTCTCTTTCCAAACAGCTATAAAAACTCCAGTGAGCTTTTCTCTCCTAATCAATAATTCATTCCTCCATCTTTTCCAGATTTGGCCCTGGATAAAGAGATCGGCAAGAGGACGAGTGTGGCGTCCCGGAGCCTGCTGTCCCATTCGTCACCCTCTCCTCTCTTCCTCTACTTAGCCAAGCTTTCACCTCGCCAAACTCCACACCTCCATCTTCCATCTCTCCCACTTCTCCTCTTTTATTCAGAAGTCCTCGTCGTCTTTTGCTGCCGGCAAACTTTGCAGCCATTTCCACATCTGTGTCTTCTCACTTTCTCTGTCCTTCTTCCCATCTCGCTGGTCTCTTCCCTATCTCTCTCTCCCTTCCTTCGCTTTCGACTGTGAGCTTTTCATGGCTTCTAAGCTAAACCCCAACGTCCTGTATGTGGCGGAGCACGGCGAGTCGCTGGGGTCGCCCCAAGCGGACTCTGAAAGGACTCATATTGTAAGTACTCTTTAATGTAGCTGCTAATTTGCAAAGCGGGGTCCAGCAAGGAAAAGTGTCCTATTCCTCTGTTATAAAACACCACTGATCAAATTTCTTTGCCCAAATAAAGGACATCGGTTTTACAGCTACATAGTCTAAAGGGCGAATATGGTGCCAGATTTCCTTTGCACTTATAAGAAACGTGCACAACTGAAGCTCTGCAGAATCAGAAAATCCTTCCTGCTTAATAAAAATCACTACTTTTGCTGCATTTGAAAACTTTTTAACAGCTTAATTTGACCAGGAGGGGTAATTAATTTAAATTAAAGGTTCACAATACCTGTTTATTTCATTCTGCAGAGGATACAATTCAGCATTCACATTCAACATTTTGTCTTTCTATTTTAAATGCCTTTAAAATAGAAAGACAAAACAAGCTGCTTCATCATTGGTGATTTCCCAGCATCTTAACATGACTTCATGTGTGGCACAGTTACTTCCCATGCAAGCAGTCGAATGTTCTGAGCACACAGGAAGTGTGAATCAAAACGTAACCCATGCGTTCATAAGATGGGCACCAGAATGAACAAGTGAAGAGTGAAGTCCATTCATTTCTGATAAAGTTAAGCAACAAGAGAGACTCACTGCACGTTTCCATAAGCATGTTGCTCAAGAATCGTTAGTGGTCATACTGTATTTATAGACGTCATAGTTTCCCTTTCGGTGTGTTTTATTTTTACAAGTAGTCGCTACAAGTTGCTTGCAAGAGCAAAATGGTTCCACAAAGTTATTCCCAATTATATCTTTACTTAATAAATTGAAATATTACAGGAACAAATCAATTTCTTAAAAAAATCCATATGAAAACTCTGCAGCAAGGCTTTAGCTACTGATGACGCAGAGGTTGTGTCCTTGGGATTTATTATGGGGAATATACAGACCTAAAAGTGCACGTGAGGCAGAAACCAGTATTTTTCCTTAAAGAATAGTGTGCTTTAATTTGAAAATTTAAAAGAACGGAAAAAACACCCACAAATAATTAGCAAAAACTTCACAGTTAACAGAATTGATCCCTGGTGTAGTAGAGAACAACCTGAGAACACCGCTTTTAGACCCTCATGTGAACACCTAAATGAATCAAATATGTAGAAATATCAAAATGGATGGATTTTGCAAACTTGAAGATCTCTTCTGAGGTATTTGGGGCTGCTTGAGCTTATGACCTCAGAAGTTCTCAAATCATGGCCACGCCTCTGTTTGGAATTAGTTATAGTTATGTAGTTAGATATTGACCCTTGTTCAAATCTTCACACCAGATCTCAAGAAGTTATTCATCGTTCATTATTTCTGCATGACAAAATAGCTTTTTGGGCACAAACGACATGTTCACAATTTAAAGGTTTTGGATAAATTTGACCCATTGTGTGCTGGTTGGCTATGACATGATGTTTCAAAGGCAGTCTAAAAGCAGGAAAAAACACAGTAAACTTGGTAGCTGCAGATCACTAAACCACTCACAGTCATTGGAATAGCATCCTTTCAGCCAAATCACATGCAACAAAGAAGAGTTTCCCATAAATCAACAGCTGAACTTTAACTGCTACACCCACAACATTTTACAAGGAGGAGATTTTGGTTACTGATGTCCTCTCACGTGAGATTTAGGTGGCAACAACCTCAAAACTCTGTACATTTGAGCTTCAAAGGGCTCCAATATCTGACACAACTTTTTAGTAATTCTTATTTTGTTTTCCTTCTTCTTCCAGGCTGGGGAAGCTGGAGAAGAGTCGTCAGACAGCGAGGGGGAACAAGAAGAGACATCGCACAAGTTGATCCGCAAGGTGTCCACCTCGGGACAGATTAGGGCCAAGGTAGGAAAAGAGAGAGTGAAGGAGGATGTGTGTGTGTGGAGGCTGGATTATACACAGTGTTCCCAAAGCTTCAGGAATATCACTTGTTAACTATCAGCTTTTTGAGAGGTTTGTGTTCAACACTGGGAAAGTCAGGAAACTGGCTTAAATCTTGTAAATGTCATATTAGAGAATTCTATTTTATAATTTATTCTTTCAACATTTTGTATTATAGATGTTGGTTTTCAGCTTTTTCTGGACATTTTAGACACATCAAACCACTTTTTATAGACACATTAAAACAGAACTTTTCCAGTGTAAAAAAGCAGCATTAGAAAACCAGAGAGGAATAAAATCTTAAGTAGTGCTTAGTGCTTTTGACTTAGTCAGGGAAAGTCATGGAAAAGTCATGAGATTTTCCATCAGGGCCACGCTGGGAGCCCTGATTAAACATTCGAGAAGAAGAGGTAATATAAACATTTAAACATCTCACTAAGGAGTGAGTGAGTGTGTTTGAAGCCATTTGAAGGACACTTGCCTTTTTCTGAGGCTGTAACACTTTACTTTCACACAAACTTTAACTCCCAACTTGTTAACTGCATCAGTCCATCCAATGAAGGATCTTTCACATTATCTGGATCTCCTCTCTGGTTGGTTGTCTCTGTCTTTATCAACACTTGTATGTGTCTGCTAAGATCAGCCGACTTCCAGCTCAGGCCCGGCCCCCCTTTACTGGCTGCATCATTTTCCTCTCTTGCCGCCACTGTGATGGCGAGTTGTTTTCAAATCTCCGATAATCGCACTCTCTTATTGGACTCCTGATAGCTGCTTATTAGCCTGTGGAATGTTTTACAGTTAGTTATTGACAGTTTGATATTAGCCTCTTACTGGCAAATACACTCACACCTACAAATCCGCCTCATTAGTTATTGATGGACACTAATATTTTCTGTCCAAACGCACAGATGACAAATTTCCAAATTATTATCATACACGTATGTGTGTGTGTGTGTGTGTGTGCTGAAATCGTTATCTATTACCTACATTGACAGTCAACTGTATATCGTGCACAGATCAATAGGAAACATTACACCCGGCCAACCCCTGTTGTCATGAGGATGGCATCCCATAATGCCACGTTTGTTCCTGGAGCAGATAATAATATTGGATATCAGTGCTAGTATTGATTAGATAACCTCATCGGGCACCGCCATAATGGGCTGTTGAGGGTTGTGTGCACGCCCCTATATAAGCGAATGAGAACATAGAGGGTTGTTATGGTTTCAGAGTCTCAGGGCAGGAATTATAGATTCTAAGAGAGCCATAGGAATAATAATTTTTTTTTTACCTTTAATCTACCACGTGTTGTTTTTGTTTCTGTTTATAACCAGTCACCCAGTACAAAATAAAGACGTGTTTTGTTTTTATTTTTCAAAAATCCTGCATCCATCATCCATGCTTCCTATTGGCTGAATGAAGCTGCTGCTGCCAGTGCTGGTTAACGTTCTTGGATTCACCAGCTGTCAAACAAATTTAACAATGTTGTTGTCCTGATTAGATTGTGTGTACCTACAGCCATGCGACTTAGATTAAGCTAGTCATTGATTCCAGGATTATGCTTTAGTGACAACAATGGCCTGAGCGGATTAGTGTGCTTGTGTACATGTGGGTGAGTGCATTTGTTTATTGGTGCGTGTGTGTGGGGGGGGGGGCGGGTGTTTTCTGTGTATCTGGCTGCATTGTGCTAAAATGTTTAGTGCTAAACAGCCTCTCAGTCCCCTGTCATGCGTTGCCTCCCCTTGTTTTGTCCCCCGCCTCTTACCATACTTGTTAGAGCGGCGCCTGTTGTTAAGAAGGTGCTAATTCTTATCAGCTGTGACATGGGATCCTGACACCATTAGATTAATTCAATTCCTCACCCACAAGTCTCCAAATAATTATACAGATGCAGTGATAGCCCTCAGAAGACTGGTGAAGTTGGTGTTGGCTGTAATTAAACCTCTTTTGGTTTAGAGACATGCTTTTTGATACTGGAGTATCAAGTCATAAAAACTCACTAAAGTCACTCTTTGTAGTCAACTCCTTTTGAGATTTTAGGATAAGTCATAATTTCAGACTGCATATTTATTTTTTTCAGGGTTTGAAACTTGCAGGGTGTTTTTTTTTATTTTATTTTTTATTTTTTTTTGCTGTATCATGTTAAGCCTTCAGTAAATGACATTAAAATCACACCCCTACCCTCTGAGGTTAATTTGGTAGGCAAATGTTCACACTGTAAATGTTATGTTGCTGCCGTTTTTATAGTCTGCACTGTAATCTTAGTGAATGTGACCTTGGAGTTCTGCAAATTGCCTGACTGTAAAACTCAGCCTATGTACTCTCTACTGACCCAATGGGATTTTAAGACCAATGCAGATTGATTTGCTGTATGGGTGTATTCTTGTCTTGATATCTTTGTAAAAACAAAAAAACTGTTTGAGTTTTTGACCCAAAAACTGTGTATATTATTATTATTACAATATTTTTTTGTCTTGCACCAGTTTGTACAGAGATTTAAGAACTCTACCGAACCCATCTCATAGCTGTATCTCATAGACTCTCATAGCTGTTATGTTTTGTTTTTGCTATAAAAAAAGGTCACAGTGCCAACACATGTAGGTTGTAAACCGCATATCCCCTCTACAGGCCGTTGTTGCATGTCGTATCTTTCTCTCCCCACATTTCCTGTTTGCCTCCCGACTATATTCTGTTGATATATTACTCAATTAAAGGCAAAGTTTCCCCATAACTAGAGGTGTGAATCTTCGCTGGCCTTACTATTCCATTACCATTCACCTGTCAGCAATCCCAATGCACAACGTTTCTCGATTCATCAAGTATAGTATCTTTAGTTTTATATATGACTGCACATGGCTACTTTTTCAGCAGTAAATAAAAGCAGTCAGCTAAAACTGAACTCAACAGTCCATAATCTAAAAAGCTAAATTTTTTCAATACCAGTATCTGTATGACCCGCTTTAGTAACCGCTCTCAGGTTAGGGCTGAACTAAGATAAAAAGTCGGCCCTGGCATTTTTGGCCCAGACTGTACCCCTCACAATCTGTCAAACACCACCCACCAGTACACTATATTTGCGGTCCCCTTAAATATGCGTACTGTACTATTCCACCAAACCACTACAAAGCTGAGTAGTAAGTCCTGTGGACAAGTGTACCAGTGCAAGTGGACCAGTCTACTCACTCTCTCCCTGGTAATCGGACTGGCTGTGGAGTACTCAGTATCCATACTCTTATTTCCACTACTACCTCAACATCCTGTCTTGACTAAACAATGGCATAGGCAGAGAAGGAGAGGCTATTACAGTTAATTGGGTTATTAACATGGTTATAAACAATGCATGTCGAAGTGTCCTTGGGCAAGATACTGAACCCCGAATTGGCTCAGTGAGTGAATGGTGAATGCAGATGAGTGGTCGATAAGACTAGAAAGGCGCTATACAAATACGGAGCATTTACATTCCCCACATGGCCAGCCACCTCTCCTCTTTCCATCTCCTGCTACCATTGCTGGTTATGGGCTGGTTGTTAGGTTGCTTTAAAAAAAAATATAAAGAAGCTATATGACCCGACCCCAGAGTGTGTTGGCCCACTGGAAAAATGGCTGGTACACAGAGTTGATGGCAAGGTTCTTGGCTGATTAGCTTTACTCGCTGTATTCTTTATGGTTTCAGACATTAGCTCCTGGTGACCCGCTAACGTGGTTCCTCAAATTCATTGCATTACCAAAGTATTTCATTTTATGTGGCAGATTGTACACATAGTGTACGTCTTGTCCAGTCCTTGCTTCCCAATGAGTTCATAAAATCTGAAATGTGCCCAGATGTCCCCTTTCAAAATACTGGGTGCATTTGTCATATCTTCCAACATCTAAAAGTAATGTTAGCCAAACGTTTGCCCTCAATTCAATGCCAGAGAACAACGTAACTTAACTTTATTGTCCAGCCGAGGCCACAAAATCTGCAATCAGCGTGAGTAGGCTATACTTTTGTGTTTGCTGCAAACTCCCGATTATGTTCTGTCACTGCATCGATGCAGAATATTCCACGTCCACCTTACTGTGCATTTTAGAATCGAGAAATTACCACACTTCCACCCATAACGTTATTGTGTATAAAGACACTGATACATTTTAAATGCCTGTAAAGCAAAATATTAGCTCAGATTTTATTAAATCAGCTTCAGTTTGAAGCAGTGAGAACTAAAAGTGAATAAAAATGTTAAAAATTGTGCTGCTTGTTTCTCTGATAGTTAATGTGTCGTCGAGTAGCATCAGATACTAACCAGATGCTGGAACATCAGATTTCATAGCAGCAGCGATAGTCATTGTTGAAATGAGGAAGTCAGTTTCTAATTTTAGTGACATTTATTCAAAATGTATGAAATGAAACTTTATTTAGTACCATTATCTACTGTTCACTGTAATAGTTTTGATTATAATCTTTGTTTATTATAATAGTTTAGGGTCTAAATTTACTAAACGGGTGGTCCTCATACGGTTAGAAGTCTGTGTGTTTGTTTCAACAAGTGCCCATTGCCATAAATCCAGAGAACATGCATCTCTACATATATACTAGCCAACCAGTAGCATACATTACATCTAGATATATGATGCTTTATTGTGGAAGAGCACAGCATAATTCACAGTCCAGTATAGGTAATCAATACAGTGATGGATCTGATAGCGAAAATAGCCATATTTCGAGCGGATTTTTTAGATCAATTTTAGGACAAATACCATCACTTAACATGCCAAAAGCTTTTGTTCATTAAATGTATGACCTTTAGACTAGTTGATCTGATGAGTTGGTTTACAGAACAGAGCAGGAACTGCGTATTCCAGTTACTACACGTGCATAGTTGCTATTGAAATTATCTTTCACTGCTATCCATGCCTGGAAACTATCCACTGAGCAAGATTAATGAACTTGATAAGCTGTGATAAGCTGCTTTGCTAAATACTTA